AACAGGCGGATATGCGCCCACCAGCACCTAAGTGCTGTACCAATTGGAGAGCATGCAGAAGACATACTCTCCCCCTTGGTGAGGGGCGAAAGGCGTCATGTTGTGATAGACGGAAGGCATTCATCCAGTGTTTTAGTTGTCCGATCCGAGGAGCGAATATCGATTCGAACCATTAGCTTGTGGCAGCCAAGGTACGCACCCGTCTTAATGTAGCAGCAAAGGTGCGATTTAACACAACACGGAAACTCGACGTCGAAAAGCTGCAAACACAACAGGTAGCCGAAGCCTACTCCGCTCAACTTACCCATCTGCTTGAAGAAAGCACTTCTTGTCCCGATAATAGTATAGAAGCACAATGGCAAAGAATTGCCCCCTCCCTACAAACTGCAGCAAAAGGAACACTTGGGTACCAAAAACCACCACCAAGAAACCCATAGTACGATCAGGAGTGTCGTAATGCTACTGATGTGAAAAGCGCAGCGTATAGGGCAACCCTGCAGACAGTAACAACACGTAACGTGATAGAGAATTATCGGGAGAAAAGGAGAGAGGAGAAACGTATTTTCAGAAAAAAAAGAAGAAAGAACAAGAAAAACGTGAGCGTGAGCACATCGAGATGTACAGGAGTCAGAATGAAGTCCTACAATTCTACCAACGGGTAATACACCCATGGTACGATCAGGAGTGTCGTAATGCTACTGATGTGAAAAACGCAGCTTATAGGGCAACCCTGCGGACAGTAGCAACACGTAACGTTATGGAGAATTATCGGGAGAAAAGGAGAGAGGAGAAACGTGTTTTCAGAAAAAAAAGAGGAAAGAACAAGAAAAACGTGAGTGTGAGCAAATCGAGATGTACAGGAGTCAGAATGAAGTCCGGAAATTTTACCAACGAGTAAAACACCAAACCAAAGGCTTTGGTGCAGGCACATCCTCCTGTAGAGACGAAAAAGGAAATCAGATAAATACAGCGTGTTGAGGATCTGGAAGGAGCATTTCGAAAAGCTTCTGGTATCAAACAGTGGCGTTGAAGAAGGTACCCCAGAACCAATAAGAGATAATGGTATAGACTTTATATCACCTAGCCAAGATGAGTTCATAAAAGCAATTAATCGGCCGAACTATTCAAGACTGGTGGCCAGATGCTGGTCAGGAGCATGTACCAGCTGATTAGTACAATTTGGCTAGAGGAATGCATGCCCAATGATTGGAACCTCAGCATCCTGTGTCCCGTGAACAAAAAGGAGACAAGACGATATGTGCTAACTATAGAGGAATTAGCCTTCTTCCCATCGCATATAAAGTGTTATCCAGTGTGCTGTGTAAACGATTGAAGCCAATGGTCAATGACATCATCGGACCATACCAATGCGGCTTCAGACCTATCAAATCAACCATTGACCAGATTTTCACACTGCACCAAATCCTGGAAAAGACCCACGAAAAACACATCGACACATACCACCTATTTGTCGACTATAAAGCCGCATTCGACCGCCCTATCCGTTCAGAGGTGTTTAAAGCCATGTCTGCGTTCGGCATTCCTGCAAAATTAATACGGCTATGCAGAATAACATTAAATGGCACAAGGTCTGCAGTTAAATTAGGAAAGGACCTATCGAAGCCCTTCAATACCGAACGAGTATTCAGACAAGATGGCAGTTTATCGTGTGATCTTTTTAACATCATTCTGGAAAAGGTCCATACGAGACGCAAAGGTGAACAGAAATGGCACTCTGTACACCAAACAACACCAGTTACTCGCATACGCCGATGACATCGATATAATGGGTCGAACATTGCGAGCGGTAACAGCCACCTTTGAACAAATTGAAAAGGAGTCTGCCAAAGTGGGTCTGGCAGTAAACGGCGAGAAGGCCAAGCTGATGGTATCAACGCGCACGACGTCCAGTAGACTCGGACCAACTGTGGAACTTGAGAACTACAGCGTCACGGGAGGTTAAAAATTGTATATACCTTGGTACCGCCATAAATAAAACGAATGACATCAGTTTTGAAATTCGGAGAAGAATTGTGATGGCCACAGTTTAGAAAGAAGGCGACCTCCCGCCAGACCAAACACACACTTTACAAGATGCTGATACTACCCGTGCTGTTATATGGATCTGAAGCATGGGTACATGCGCAAGCAGATGAGGCAGCTCTTGGGGTGTTTGAAAGAAAAATTCTCCGGGCCGATGTGCATCGACGGTGAATATCGGCGTCGAATGAACCACGAGCTTTACAATTTATACGCGGACATCGACATAGTCAGTCGTAATGAGCTGCAGCGTCTACGGTGGCTAGGCCATGTTGTGCGGATGAATGAGAATGCCCCAGCTCAAAAGGCATATAAAAGCGAGCCTACGTAGAAAACAACATCTTGGAAAGTGGTCTTCCAAATTGGTGGACTTTCGCACATGACCGACGAGCTTGGAAATCTTTTTTAAGCTCGGCTTATGGAACAACCGTTATGTAACAAGCCAGCTAAGTAAGTAAGTAATTTTTTCAAAGACCTATACACGGCGTGGATTTTTTAAGGAACACTTTTTCAAGGACCTATACAAGGCGTGGATTTTTTAAAGAATATTTTTTCAAGGACCTATACAAGGCGTGGATTTTTTAAAGAACATTTTTTCAAGGACCTATACAAGGCGTGGATTTTTTAAAGAACATTTCTTCAAGGACCTATACAAGGCGTGGATTTTTTAAAGAACATTTTTTCAAGGACCTATACAAGGCGTGGATTTTTTAAAGAACATTTCTTCAAGGACCTATACAAGGCGTGGATTTTTTAAAGAACATTTTTTCAAGGACCTATACAAGGCGTGGATTTTTTAAAGAACATTTCTTCAAGGACCTATACAAGGCGTGGATTTTTTAAAGAATATTTTTTCAAGGACCTATACAAGGCGTGGATTTTTTAAAGAATATTTTTTCAAGGACCTATACAAGGCGTGGATTTTTTAAAGAACATTTTTTCAAGGACCTATACAAGGCGTGGATTTTTTAAAGAACATTTCTTCAAGGACCTATACAAGGCGTGGATTTTTTAAAGAACATTTTTTCAAGGACCTATACAAGGCGTGGATTTTTTAAAGAACATTTCTTCAAGGACCTATACAAGGCGTGGATTTTTTAAAGAATATTTTTTCAAGGACCTATACAAGGCGTGGATTTTTTAAAGAATATTTTTTCAAGGACCTATACAAGGCGTGGATTTTTTAAAGAACATTTTTTCAAGGACCTATACAAGGCGTGGATTTTTTAAAGAACATTTCTTCAAGGACCTATACAAGGCGTGGATTTTTTAAAGAACATTTTTTCAAGGACCTATACAAGGCGTGGATTTTTTAAAGAACATTTCTTCAAGGACCTATACAAGGCGTGGATTTTTTAAAGAACATTTTTTCAAGGACCTATACAAGGCGTGGATTTTTTAAAGAACATTTCTTCAAGGACCTATACAAGGCGTGGATTTTTTAAAGAATATTTTTTCAAGGACCTATACAAGGCGTGGATTTTTTAAAGAATATTTTTTCAAGGACCTATACAAGGCGTGGATTTTTTAAAGAATATTTTTTCAAGGACCTATACAAGGCTTGGATTTTTTAAAGAACATTTCTTCAAGGACCTATACAAGGCGTGGATTTTTTAAAGAATATTTTTTCAAGGACCTATACAAGGCGTGGATTTTTTAAAGAATATTTTTTCAAGGACCTATACAAGGCGTGGATTTTTTAAAGAACATTTTTTCAAGGACCTATACAAGGCGTGGATTTTTTAAAGAACATTTCTTCAAGGACCTATACAAGGCGTGGATTTTTTAAAGAACATTTTTTCAAGGACCTATACAAGGCGTGGATTTTTTAAAGAACACTTTTTCAAGGACCTATACAAGGCTTGGATTTTTTAAAGAATATTTTTTTCAAGGACCTATACAAGGCGTGGATTTTTAAAAGAAGATTTTCAAGGACCTATACGAGGCGTGGATTTTTTAAAGAACATTTTTTTCAAGGACCTATGTAAGGCGTGGATTTTTTAAAGAACATTTTTTTCAAGGACCTATGTAAGGCGTGGATTTTTTAAAGAAGATTTTCAAGGACCTATACAAGGCGTGGATTTTTTAAAGAATATTTTTTCAGGGTCTATACAAGGCGTGGATTTTCAAGGATTTTTTTAAAAGAAGATTTTTAAGGACCTGTACAAGGCGTGGAGTTTTCAAGGATTTTTTAAAAGAAGATTTTCAAGGACCTGTACAAGGCATGGATTTTCAAGGATTTTTTAAAAGAATATTTTCAAGGACCTGTACAAGGCATGGATTTTTTAAAGGTTCTCTTAGATCCAAGCTCCTTTTGTTTTACCAAAATTATGTTTTTTTCCCATTGTCATTCAATTTTTTGTTTTTAAAAAAAGGGGTTGCTACTGCTCACCTCAAATCCTTGAAAAAAAATAAATAAGTAGGAAACATCCTCATCACACCGCGCTTAGCCATATCAAGCGCCAGTTTCACACAATTTACACGCAACAATGATTTGTATTTAAAAGAGAGAGAGACACTCAATTTGAAATCGACACACACCGGCAGACAGACAGACGGACAGCCAGTCAATAGCAGCAACATGAAAAGGCACGTGTCCTTGTTTGTCTCTGGCAATTACAGCAATTAAAGATAAAATGCAAATCCAAAAAAAAAAATAAAAAACCCGAACAGAGCTCCACGGACCTCCACACACCTCGGCAGAAAAGCCCGACGTAGGAGGAGGTGAGCGTCGGAACATGCCTGCAAGTAGGCTGTTGCGCCCGGTTGCTAAATGGCGTTACATCATTAACATTTATTATTCTCATCATTTTCCACTTCATTGCGGTTAAACGCTTTGGGTTTTTAGCCTACCGAGCAGGAGAAAGATGAGGGGGATAGGTAGATTTTTTCCCCAACAAATCAAAATTCCCAAATGAAAATAAAAAAAACTATTAATGAGTAGAGGGTGGGTTACTCACCATCCTTGTTCATTCCCATTTGAAGGCACTTCTTGAGCCGGCAGGCCTGACACTGATTCCGATGGGCCTTGTCGACGATGCAGCGACCGGTACCAGCCTGGCATCTGTAAATAAATGAAAATAAATTTCAAATCAATTATTACTATCATCATCATCGTCGACAAAAAAAGACTATGAGCCGAAAGGACACTTGACAAATGTCTGCTTCAATGATTTGCATGGCGGAACTTTGATTGGGAAAAATTAGAAAAGAAAAGAAAAAATCGCAACACATTTTTATTTAATTTCCAAAAATTCAATTATTCCGCCATCACACTTCCATGGCTTTGAATAGCAAAAATTGCAACATTTGTTGTTTTCTAAGGACATGCGCATCCTATAAGAGCCCTCCCGCTCTCTCATTCCCATTCAATTTCCACTTTTGGCAAATTCTTGCTGCCACTTATAAATTATGCTGACAGACAAAAGAAAACAACAGCAACAACAACAACATGGAAACCACTTGAACAAAAATTAAAACTCATCATGTCAATATCCTTGTTGGTCCTTGTTAGTCTCTATCTATTATCATCATAGAAAAATTGTAGCCATTGTTCTCACAAATCCTCTGACAAAGGAAGGATACCAGCAGCCATGGTGGTGAAACTATTCGAGCCACATATTCCGAATCTGTTTTTATTTCGTGTTCTTCTTCTTCTTCAACTACTTTTCGCTTTGCATGCAGAACTCTCTCTCGACGGATGATGATAATGAAATTAAGCTTAACGCATAGATTATTTCATTAAGTCCTCCTCCCCCTTCCCCCACCCGGTTAACCTTTTGTCTCCTTTGATTGCATTTTGTTCGATATGCCAGAGTTCATCTAAATACTCAACTTCAATTTGGATCGACATGTGTTAGGAATTTTTATTGAGTACCAGATCTTCTCGGGGGTGGAGGGGCACATATATTGAGTTAATCACTTTTGAATGGTCAATGGGAAATTATTTTCATAAAAGGATAACAAGTATAATTATCTTAAGGATACAAAATATTTTTTGAATATTCTTTAAAAAAGCCACGCCTTGTATAGGTCCATGAAAGAATGTTCTTTAAAAAATCCACGCCTTGTATAGACCCTGAAAAAATATTCTTTAAAGAATCCACGCCTTGTATAGGCCCTGAAAAAATATTCTTTAAAAAATCCACGCCTTATATAGACCCTGAAAAAATATTGTATAAAAAATCCACGCCTTATATAGACCCTGAAAAAATATTGTATAAAAAATCCACGCCTTATATAGACCCTGAAAAAATATTGTTTAAAAAATCCACGCCTTGTATAGACCCTGAAAAAATATTCTTTAAAAAATCCACGCCTTGTATAGACCCTGAAAAAATATTCTTTAAAAAATCCACGCCTTGTATAGACCCTGAAAAAATATTCTTTAAAAAATCCACGCCTTGTATAGACCCTGAAAAAATATTCTTTAAAAAATCCACGCCTTGTATAGACCCTGAAAAAATATTCTTTAAAAAATCCACGCCTTGTATAGGTCCTTGAAAAAATATTCTTTAAAAAATCCACGCCTTGTATAGGTCCTTGAAAAAATATTCTTTAAAAAATCCACGCCTTGTATAGGTCCTTGAAAAAATATTCTTTAAAAAATCCACGCCTTGTATAGGTCCTTGAAAAAATATTCTTTAAAAAATCCACGCCTTGTATAGGTCCTTGAAAAAATATTCTTTAAAAAATCCACGCCTTGTATAGGTCCTTGAAAAAATATTCTTTAAAAAATCCACGCCTTGTATAGGTCCTTGAAAAAAATATTCTTTAAAAAATCTTTTATGGTCCTTGAAAAACTATTCTTTAAAAAATCCACGCTTTGTGTAGGTCCTTGAAAAAATATTCTTTAAAAAATCCACGCCTTGTATAGGTCCTTGAAAAAATATTCTTTAAAAAATCCACGCCTTGTATATAAAAAATCCACGCCTTGTAAGGACCTTGAAAAAATATTCTTTAAAAAATCCACGCCTTGTATAGGTCCTTGAAAAAATATTCTTTAAAAAATCCACGCCTTGTATATAAAAAATCCACGCCTTGTAAGGACCTTGAAAAAATATTCTTTAAAAAATCCATTCCTTGTATAGACCCTGAAAAAATATTCTTTAAAAAATCCACGCCTTGTATAGGTCCTTGAAAAAATATTCTTTAAAAAATCCATGCCTTGTATAGGTCCCTAAAAAAATATTCTTTAAAAAATCCACGTCTTGTATAGACCCTGAAAAAATATTTTTTAAAAAATCCACGTCTTGTATAGGTCCTTGAAAAAATATTCTGAAAAAATCCACGCCTTGTATAGGTCTTTGAAAAAATATTCTTTAAAAAATCCTCGCCTTGTATAGGTCCTTGAAAAAGTATTCTTTAAAAAATCCACGCCTTGGTGGGTCCTTTAAAATATTCTTTAAAAAATCTACGCCTTGTGTGGGTCCTTGAAAAAATATTCTTTAAAAAATCCTCACCTTGTGTAGGTCCTTAAAATATTATTTAAAAAATCCACGCCTTGTATAGGTCCTTGAAAAAATATTATTTAAAAAATTTTAATTTTCAAAATAAAGTTTCGATTTTCTACCACCAACAAATATATCTCTACCTAATTACAATTTAAATCCCTGCACCAAAAGTGTAACATAAATATAAATATTATTTGTTCGATTTTGTGTTCCTCCTCTTCTTCTTCTTCTTTATGGTAATCAATTCAATTTGGAATCAATGCACATTTGCTTCTGCCCTGCTTTGGTTTGAATCCCAAAAAGTCATTAAATCAAAAAGAAAATATCCCATTCAGTATTTAAAAGTTATAAGCCTGCCATTATCCTGCCTTGCACACCCACCCCGATTTCATCAAAGCAATAAAACAATAACAAAAACAAACAACAACAACACGAACAAAAATAAATAAAATCATAGGCAAGAATAACAAAAAGCGAAAGGAATGAAAATAAATCGATTTTCGAAAATTCCTTTTCTCTATTAGAATCCATTTGCCAAAGGGTGGGGGGTTGGTGGATGGGGAGACCCTCAAGAAAAGGGGGAGTTGCTTTACAAATTGCGGAATGGAAAGCTGCTTAAGCCAAAGCCAAGTAAACTTTTAGCCATTGCACGAACAAGACCATGCGCCATCGTCGTCATCATCATCGCCACCATTGTCTTCATCTGAGAGATTGGGTGAGAGAGAAATAAAACTGCCGGGCAAAATGGTGGAGCAATCAAAGTCGCTTTGGTGGGGATGGGGAGGAAAGGGGAGACATATTTTTGTTTTTTCTTTGGAATTGAATTGGAAATTCCTTTGGATCAGGAATATTCACTTGAAGCGAATGAACAAAAATTGGTAGCAGGTATTGGTACCCCATGTCCTGGTCCCCCCCAAAAAAATCCAAAAATCTCCACAAAAAGTTAGAAATTGAATCTAAATCCTGAACAGCATAGCATCACGAACCAGAATGTGCTAAAATTGACTTTGGCACAGCAAAAGCCCCCCACACCCACACCCCACCCTGCATAGACAAAAATCCAACAGCTTCATCATCATTGTCATCCTTGGAAAAAGACTTGCAGTTCACCTCACCCCACCTACCCTTGCCTTGCCGTTCTATTCTGTTCTGTGTGCGTGCGTGCCTGCTGAGCCCTTGAAGTTTATTTTGTGCTGGGCCAGGATTATGGTTAGATTTTGGGCCTTTTCCACTTAACTCACCACCCCTACCGCTCAAACACGTATGTCCTATGTTTGTTTGCTTTGTCATCATGCCAGGGATACGAGCACAAACACACACACCCACGTGATTTACGAAATTTAATGCGGTCACATTTGGCCAAATGAATTCCACTTAAGTTTTATGTCAGTCTCTTCGTTCGCTGTATATCGTTGTCCTCCCGGGGGAACGTTTGAGGATAATGATAAAAACATTTTGACGTTTTGTGATTTACAGCAACAACAACAAAGAGACAAACATATTACAAAATAATAAATTTATGTCAATTGTGACGACAAATGGTCACTTAACGTTGTCGCAGATGCAGTCCAAAGGATGGTTAACCGCCGAAAAGGAGAAATCATTTTTATTTTTCCGAAAGGATTTTTTTTAATTTACTTTCAAGGTCTTATGTTGCGAAAAAAAAGATAATTGACCGTTAACAAAAATTAAACTGAAATTAACTTTTGTTAGGGCAGGAAAAAACGCGAAATTTATTTAAATGCATATTTTTTAGGGTCCACAGGTGGGTGAACTCTTTAAAGAATATTTTTTCAAGAAGTGTTGAATTTTTTAGAGAATATTTTTTCATGGACCTATACAAGGAGTGGATTTTTTAAAGAATATTCGTTCAAGGTCTATAAAAGAGTGTCTATATAAAGAGTGGATTTTTTAAAGAATACTGTTTCAGGGTGGCTGTACAAAGCAACAGCTCTGATTGGCTTTAACATGGCGAAGTCCAGGCTTATCTTGGTCCCCCTTTCATCACAAACACTGACATGCCCACGGTGTAACCTGGGGTAGCTATTTTCATCACCCGTTGAAATAGTGAGCTAATATGTGGCGCGAGTTCACCCATAAGAACTATAAAAAATGGGTTGATGCGTCGGGTTATTTGCCACACTCGGAAAACCCCTCCTACTATAAAAAAGCAAAGAAAAAAACCAAACCCCCTTATGTTGACGACTGCCGCAAACGTATAAAGGACCACGATCTGCCAATCTGCACTTGGAATGTGCGCGCACGTTGTACAGAACAGGCTCAGAGTTCACTTTGGCGGGTGTACTCAAGAAGTACAAAGCAGATATTAGTGCCTTATAGGAGATACAATGGAAAGGGACAAGCGTAAGTAAATCAGACGATTACGCCCTGTATTATAGCTGCCATTAAACAAGACATGAATTTGGATGCGGATTTATGGTTAACAGGAGAATAAAAGACCTCGTCTCCAGATTCACTCCAGTAGATGAGCGAATGGCAATAATCCGTGTAAAAGCGAAGTTCTTCTACATCAGTCTTATTTGCGCCCATGATCCGACCGAAGATAAAGATGAACAGACCAAAGACATATTTTACGAGCGCCTAGAAACAGCATAT